TTTCCAAAACCTGCTTCCCTCGCCAGCCTTGACATGTGTGGGGAGCATCCTGTCTCAGTGCCTGACCTCCTTCAGTTGGTGAAGCATAGGTGAGACCAAGTTAATGTAAATAAACTCAGCCTGACAGAAGCCAAGGCGAGTCTGTATTTAAAGGTCATCAGTATTTTTAGGTCCAAACTGAGGGAGGTAGATTAGGTAGAACATTCCAAGATTATTCTAGAGAACTACCGAAAAATGGTTAGGCACAACAACTTTATCTGGTAAGCTTTCCAGGCTGGTAGAGTAGGATGGTGAATAAATTTCAATTTAAAAACCAAACTGTATTCAAGTGACTGGTAGGGGCTGCTTGGAGGACTGTGTAGGGAAGCACTTTGAGATTGGGACTGCGCCCAGCAGGGGAAGTGCAGTGACTGAATAACAACATCTAAAGGGGATGGAGGATGGACTCTCTCCAGAACTAGGAGGTAGAGGAGCCAAGGATGTGCACAGGCTTGGAAGCAGCCAGCTAGAAGTGATCACTTGCTTGGTAAAGGCCAAGTTATGAATGGCGGAGGCATTTCTTGTGTGACAGACGAGCTGGTGCATGGGACTGGTTTCTGTTCCAGTTCTGTGATTGGGACTGGGTGTCCTAACTACACATTCTCATGGCAGGAGAGAAGACAGAATTAGTACCACTCAACAGTAGCCCCGTGCCAGGAAACACTAACTGCTTTCCGTACATGACATTATTTCATTAACTCCTTCAAGCCTCAGTTTTCTCAGTCATGAAATGGAACAACAGTGATGTAGTCTGTGGGCTGAGTGAAGGTAATCTGCTTGTATCCTGCAAACTGTCACGGAACTACAGAATATTAGCACAATGGTGATTTTAATCTACTGCACATAGGTTCATGACTCATTTTACTACATTTTTCTCTATACTCAAGCTTCCTCATACAAAAAATAAACATGCCGGGCGTGGTGGCTCACGCCTGTAATCCCAGCACTCGGGAGGCTGAGGCAGGAGTATCGTTGTGAGTTTGAGACCAGCCTGGGCTACAAAAGTGAGCTCAAGGCCAGCCTGAACTGCGTAGTGAGACCCTGTCTCAAAAAGACAAAAAATAAACACATCAGTACTATCTAGTAACAGTGCTATGCAGGTGCCAATGCATGAAGAGAATGATAGCAAAGCACCTGGTACATAAATAAAGTTTCTTGTTAAATATCAGTACTATTTCCAAAGATCAGATCTTTGCCACAGGTTTCATTAAGAGTGTTAAGAGTTTTTTGTTCATGAAGGGATAGAAAATCACTTTAACTTGGGGTCTTGCAGACTGAAGTTTTTGAAAATCACATCCCCTGACTGTTTTAGGGACAAATGGCAGGTGGTAAAATTGGAGCCTCGGCCCCTGTTGCCTCCCTACAAGGTGAGCAGCTGAGCAGCAGTGCAGGCTGTGTGCTCCGATGACCACAATTCAGCGTGGGCAGCAGTCTTCGTGGCAGCAGCAGGAAGTGGGGAATGTTGCGCATGGATGCATACCCCTTGGAATGACTTACTACAGGGCCATGGGGATTCTCCACTGACACAGGATGGACGGGCAGAGGAGGCCATCCATCAGTGTCAGGGGAGAGCAGAAGTACCTGGCTAGTCAGGTGAAATAAAATAAATTATTTACTGGTCTCAGAATGCAGCTGCCCACTTGATGTCCATATGTAATGTACCATTCGTTGCCCTGGACTCTGCAGAATGGAAGGAAAGCCTCTCTGGATTGCTGTGTGCAGGTATCTGTCACTGTTGTGAGAATGAGGGGGGCTGTCATGAGCTTTGAAAGGAGGGAGAGACTCTGACACTGTGTATCTGACTGAACTTACATGGGAAACCAGCTTATTTGCTTCATGATACAATACTCATGGTTTTTCTCATGGTTGCAAAACTCATTAGGTCTAATTAATGAAGTTTTTGCTTTTAATCCTAAAAAATGAACTCAGATGTTAACAGAAACAAATGTGATACCAGCTGTTTAGAAGCTCCCCAGAGCTTGACTCTATAGTAGAGGGTGCCATTTCTGTCCCTGGAAGTAATGTGAGGGGCCTGGGACCTGGATCAGCCTCACTTAGAGAACCTCATCAACTTTGTACTGGACAGGCCTCCATCGAAGTCAACCCTAATCTGGGTGACTTGGTTCAAAACCTACAAAGGGTAACTAGATGCAGGAGGAGGACTGCCAAGTTGTGTCCAGCCTAGGTAATTTAGTGAGACCTGTCTCACAAAAACAAAAACAAAATGAAAAGGCAGGGACATAGCTTAGTGGAAGCCACCTGTAGAGTGGGAGGGATGCAGGAGAGAGAGCCAGAGGCAAGATGAATGAGAATGAGAATGACAACACTAGTAAGATAGGCTGACACTCAGAATCCACTTCTACGGCCAGATACTTCCCGACCACAGAATTTTAGAAGGTAAACACTACCATGTGCGTTTGGACTCAGAGCCTATCTCCTCCCAGACTCTTCTGGGGACTTTCTCCTTAGAATGCAGTTAGAATCTGGTAATTAAAGTTTGTGTTTTTGCCTTCAAAAAGAAGTAGAGAGATGCCCAGGGTCTTGGTTATCGCTGCTGGGCAGGCACTGCTTTTCAGGGTACAGAAGGGGCAGGAGGGATCTACGGATATGCTCACCACACCACATGCCTGCCTGGGACCTGTCTGGGCCAGTCAGGCTTCGCACTGGGCTCCTGGCAATGGGGCCCACTCAGGAGAAAGCAGACTCCCTGCAGGCGGGTACTACAGCCAAACCCAGACTGAGTGTCTAAGCTCTGTGCAGCACTCTTATTTCAGTGAAGTTCTAATTCAGAACACACAGAAAGTGCAAATCAAGAGTTCACGTAGCATGACTTTCCCATAAGGCCTACGAGCCACATAACCAGTCCCCAGATCCAGAAACAGACCCTTACTGGCTCCCCGCAGCCTGCCTCCCTCAGACCAGAACGACCACTATTACAACTTGCACATGGCTATGCCTATGGGTTTTTTTTCTTGGAGATGGGTCTCACTGTGTAGCCCAGGCTGGTCTTAGCTTTCCAAGTGCTGGAGTTAGAGGTGTGCATCATCATGCCTGGCTTATTTCTTGACTGCTATAGAGAAATACAAATATACATACATAAAATTTTTGTTAGTTTTGGGGCTTGTGCACGTCATGCAAATGCTCTACCACCTAGCTCACCCCTAGTCCTAGAGGATCTGGCTTCTTTTTATAGAGTCTTGTTATTTTTATTTCATCAGGAAAAACATCCCCAGAGTAAAAGCACAGATCTACTTCATGTGTTAAGAATTAACATTAAACAAGTTTAAGACATGTAGGGACTTTTTAATGTGAAAATACACAAGTGCAGAAGGAAGGAAAAAGGCAGGCTCTGTGTTCTGGCTGCTGGTCTATCTATTTAGCCCACTGTAATCACCATCTCCCAGCAGCTGCTGCGTGTGCATGCACGCGTGTCGGTGGGGTGCTGAGGAGGGAACCCAGGGCCTTCCCAGGCTGACTCTGCACTGCATGTGGTCTACCACTGAGCTACACCCCAGTCCCAGCAGCTGCAGCTTACAGGCACTTGCGACCTGCCACGCATCTTTCTGAGTATTTCGTGTGCGCTGTGACATTTCCTTCTCATAATTACCCTATGAGACAGGGACTATTATTATCTTTTGTTACAGATGAGGAAATCGGGGCCCTGAGTCAATCTGCTACGGTGACCCGACTGACAAATGAGCCGGGTCTGCCCCAGGCCCCTGACTGCTGAGCCTGTCCTCTCAACTGACTGCCAGGCTGGAGCCAACCATTTTCCATGGAGCATCTTCCTTGCTTCCAACAGCAATCTTCAGGAGCTGGAATTACTGATACTCTCATCTAAACAGCACGAAAGACAAAGACCTTGCTGGAGATATTCAGCTAGTTATTGATGGGGTACAGTTTGTGTCAATTGAGGTTCATTTGCCCATCTCTATGCACTATGCAGAATACTGCAAGTTCCCGTCAATCATGCTGGGATGGGATATGTGAGGCACTAGACCTGTTAGCCAGACTCAGACTAATGCCAACATCAGAAAAGGTTTTACCACAGGACAGAAAGCATTGGTGAGAAACACAGAACCAGTGAGCTCTAGAATTAGAATTCAACAACCCTCCTTTGTGCCAGAGGCAAACGAGACCTAGCAAGGGAGAGATGTGGCACAGCCAGGGTCCGGTCAGCTCCTTGATGTGGCACCTCCCTGCTGCTCCTGACCTGCCCCACTCGGAGACCTTTGCTAAGGAGCAGGTGACTCAAGGTAGTCAGATAAGGACTCTGCCCAGGCCACCAGCACCGGCCCTCATGAGTCGGGCCCAGGACTATCTCTCTGCACCTCAGTTACTGTCTCTGTCAGATTGGAACAGTAAAAAATACCCAGCTTTTAGGTAGCTAAAGAGAACACATAAAGCACTTGGCACAGAAACTAATGCATGGCAGTTGCCATGTTGACAATGACCTGTTAATATTATGTTGACTACCGTGGCATGTTTTCTACTCCAGGTAGGTTTGAGTCAAAATAAAAGTTTAGCATTTAATTGGAACAAATTAACCCCAAATATGAGTAAAAGTCAGTTCCAGGTTATCTAGAAAGGCTCCAAACAGAACCTCTCGAATCCTTAGCAGCTTCCTGAACGAATCAGCATGTGTACCCAGGGTGGGGCGGGGCGGCCACCCAAGGAGGGAATTGCAGACAGAAGCCTCACGAAGCCTCACAGAAGCCTATAGTTTGAAAAGAGGTGCGTGTTGATTCTATTTCCAATCTTCTGCTTCTGAAATTAGAAGAGGCAGAGCACTAAGGTGGGGAAAGGGATGCACTTTGAATTTCACTGTTTAAACAGGGCCTCAGCAAACAGATTATCACCAGTCATTCAGGTCACAGGGAAGCAGTGCACCATGCTTTCCTCATTTCTGCACTGACTCCCAGCAGACAAGGGTTCGGTTTGTGGCCTGTTTATGTACTCACCTAACTGCACATCCGTTGTGAATCGGAGCCTGTGGATCATGCTGACTTTGAATGACTTGTAGTGGTGGCTGCTGAGCATATCCTGAACCGTAGCTATGTCAATTTGTGAGTCTTCCTCAAAAACTCCGTCTGCCCTTGAACCTGGGGAGAAACAAGCACTTTAACACATAAAGATACATGAGGCTTGGCAAATGGTGTCTGCTTAAAATGCTTTGGGATAAATTAAAATAATATGGGCTATTTAATTTGGAGACAAAAAGGCTGAGCAATGACTTAATAATGCCATTCCAGTAAACAGAGAATGGTAACATATTAATCATTCAACAATTAATTCCACAAACAGTGCCTATTCTATGGCAGGCCTTTGGCTGGGCAGTAGGGAGAGGGGAAGGACAGGAAGATCCCTGCTTGCTCTCAGCAAGAAGCTTGGTTTCCACAAGGGTTACACAACATGGCTGACCACATGTGCTTTTCTAATTGTGATTTTCCTGACTATAAAAGTAATCCGTGCTCCCTGAAGAAGTCCTGAGCCAAGCCCCTTCTTACCCTGTGCTCCACAGCCTCCACTGGTTGGTGTGTGACAGCCCCCTCTCTGGCCTTCTATCCACCAGGTTCCCTCTGCAATCCAGCCATCACAAGACCTTGAAATTCCTTTTTCCAAAGGCTTGATCATTCATTCATTTGTCACATGGTCAGTGAGAGCCTTGTACATGCTAAGGACTCTAACACATAGAGACGGACAGGCAGACTGGTGCTCATAAACCTCCCCTGGATTCCCAGGGCTTTCTGAATGTAGCATGCACTTCTTTCTTGCCAAACGGCTCCTCTCTGAGGCTTTGGGAGGCTAAGCCGCATGGCCAAGCTAACACTAAGCAAAGACAAAATCTCTTGGTTCCCCAGAGTCTGAAATGAGGGCTTCTGAAGGCAGAACTGCTGGTGCCATGTGGGGTGGGGAGCACCTGTCTAACAGAGGGCAACTAGAGCAGGGGCCCCTGCCTGGTGTTGGTCATCTGAAGATGGCTCCACGGGTTAATGCACAGACTCCTCAGGGTAGAAAGGGGGATGAAAAATGAGAATTGGGGATCAGCTGGAAAACTCTCTTTGCCATGGGCAGTCTGACAATTATACACATTTACTTCTCGAGATCACTGCCCACAGGGCAGTGAAGTTGTTATGAGGTTGTTCCCTAGGGCTGGCAGTGTAGCTCAGTGGCAGAGCACTTGTGTAGCCCATGTGGGCCCTGGGTTCAATCCTGGCCACACACAGACACATAGGGAAGTTGGTGTCTGATGCTTTCCCACTGAATGTACTTAATAGAAATTATATATTCTGTTTCCAAGCACTATAGTTATTTCTAACTAGGACAATTTTAGCAGCTCTATAAAGCTTTCCTTTTGGTAAGGAGTCGGAGGCCTCTGACAGAGACCCATCTAAGAGCATCTCATCACACACACTGTCCTCTCTGCTCAGGTCACACTTCTCCCCATCTCAATCCCTCCCAGTCACCTCCCTATTTCTCCTGAGGAGCTCAGCTCCAGGATGGTCCAGGGCATCTTCCCTGACTTGAGGCCCACAGCACGGTCCAGCACCTTCTGCCATTGTGTCCTACATCTTCTCTCAGAACAGCCAGCACAGGTGCTAGTTATGTCTCTACCCGGAGACCAAAAACTCCCAAAGGGTGGCACATAGACTGCTTTCAATTACTGCTGCCACCCAGCCCCTGCCAGTACTAGAAAGCAAGAGCTCAGTAAAACGTCCTGTATGGCACAGGTGCCATCTCCACGGAAGGTGAGGGTGGGGGAGGTTGGGTCACTTAACTAACATCATACTGGGGGACACAATGCAGTTGTGCTCCATGTCTCGAAGGGCCACTGGGTCACCCATTTCCTTTTTGGCAACACGTGTGATTTTGATCAGCGGTGCCAGGATCACAGTTACTGCTATTTTCTGACTAAGGTGCACATTTGAACTGAGAAGCTGACGAGGAGCTCGGATTTAGAACAATTGTTCACTTTTTCCAACCTACATTTTCACTGAAATGTAACTCCCAAAATATTTACTTCTATGTTAGAAAATTTTTATAGATGAAAATTACAGTGTTTCGGTAAAATATTAAAATCTTTTAATGTTTTACAAGTCATTTAAAGCCATCTTTTCTAGAATAATGCCATTATTAGAAACAGCTCAGCTATGAACTCCAGACTTCTGTTTTCTTTATTAATTAGTATTTTTAAAAAATATTGCAGGTATTCAATTTGGAAAGAGGTAATAGCTCATTATGCTAAAATGCCAATTACTACAAAAAATTCACACTTCAGATTTTTTACATTTTATGATGTTGGATTAAAACCAATTTAAAAATTACTATAACGTGACATATAATTTTTTACTGAGTAATTTCAATGCCAGCTGCTAATAAAGAGTCTTAGCTGTAAATGATAATTCAGATGCTTTTAGATAAAGTGGTGCATAAATATGGCTGGAAATTGATTTAGCTTCTTACAGAAGCTACTGAAGAATGACATATTTTGTTTAATACACCAGCTAATGTAGTCCTAAAAGCTCAAACAAGTGCCAGTTTTCACTCCTAAATTTGCTGTGGGAGATTAATGAAAACTTTATATTTTGCTGAAATGTTAATAATGGGCAGATGAGATGATAGGATTTTAGTAGAGGTCTTAAAGCTATGGAATAACCAGCAAGGCTTGTCAATTTCCTTGTATTAATTTTGTTCAAGACTTATATAGCTGGAGCTGGCTCAACACACTAATGCTTCATGCATTGACCTTCTACTCTCTGCCAGTGTAAATTCATATCCCATTTGAGGATTTAAGCCCCCCTGATACTCGGGTGAGCTCTGAGCTTTGCTCCTGCTGACAAGGGGCGTGTTTGCTTTTATGATTAGAAGGGCAACAGCACCTGGGGGAGTAGGGAAGGCGTGGTCCTGTGCATGCCTCTAGCTCACACTGCCCACTCCAAAGGCGATTAGCTGCTGAATAAAACACTGCTAGCTTTGAAGGTCCAGGGCTATTTCTTGAAGTAGACCCAGGAATGCCATGGCCTGGGGTGGCATGTCTCTGTGTTCATGGGACTTGAAACCATGTCTCCCCATGGCAGCAAAGTGCTAGACTATGGGATAGTACCAACCGGTGAGATGGGGCAGGGCTCCTGATCCTCAGGAGCTTATAAACTAGCTACAGAACACAAAGAAAACAGTATGAGCAGAGAGAAGTAGCCAATAAATGGTGCATGTGATACGCATTTTATCTAAAAGCAAACACTTTGAAGCAAAGCATTATATCAAAAGCATGCTTTTGAACCAGAAAAGTTCTATGCCTTATGTACACCTTCAATGTTTGTATCCTTCTGGAAAAGGGTGAACCCAACCACACATGAAAGATGTTTGGCACTGCACCATTTGCATATTAAAATTATTATTATACTATGAACTTCAAATTAAAAAGTCTACTTTTGTTCAAGAGAAGACATTTTTATCTTCTTAAAAGTGAAAAGCGGAGAAAGCCAGAATGCCTTAAAAATAAACATACAAAAAACCCCTCACTCTCTAGACCATTAATTTAATTGAAATATAAGCCTTTGGTATTTTGTTAAATTAGCAATTAAAAAGGTCACAAGCAATTAAATGAAACAAAAGCCATACTGTGTTCATCTACATTAATGCTGAACTGGGTCTCCTCCTGAATGACAAGATAAATTGTAATGGTGCCTTCAAAGACTGCACAATGTATTTTGTCAAAGTTGGGAGTGTTAATGTCTCTATGTGCCATGGATTACCATAATGTGTCGTGTCAAAACTCGTGAGCTGCAATAACTCAAGTACTGTGATAGATCAAATTTTAGGGTGGGGCCTAACAGTGACTTGAGTACCAGGACTTACGTGGACTGACAACAAGGCTCTGGGAGAAAGAAGAAAGAGTGCACCTGCAATGTGAAAAATGGACAAACCTGGCCAGTGCAGGAAGGGTACAGGGAAGCAACGGGCAGGTGAGGAAGGAGGCAGGCAATTGTAGGCCCGGCAGTAAATAAAGGAAGAAGGGCGGACATAGCTCAGTGAGTGGCTCAGGGCTTGCCTGGCAAGTGCAGGGTTGGGAGTTTGATTCTAGGTTCCAAACAAACAAAAACTTACTAAAAACAAGGAAAGAGGAGACGCTCTGAGACAGTCAAGGACTGGGAGGTGGCTAGGGGGCTTAATAACATCAGACAGAAGATGAATACAGAGCTCAGCAATGTACATCAAACCCTAGCTTTAACACTGAGTCAAGACTGGGCCAGTACTTTGGCATGAGTCCACTGGCAGGAAAGACAGACACAGGACAGACCCAGTGGATTCTGGAGTCCATGCTGCTTCCTTCTGCTACTCCTGTGTCTCCTCTCCCCTATTCCTGCCTCACCTATGCCTCCAAGCTCCTATAAGCAACGCAAGGCAAAAGACTGCTGAGATGAACAGTGATTTTCAAAGTGTGATCTGGGACCCACAGTGTGTGTGTGTGTGGGGTCCCTGAGACCCCTTCCTGCAACCATAATTTCAGTATTACTTTCATAATAATGGTAAGACACTGCTTGCCTTTTTTGTGCTCATTCTTTTACAAGTGTATAAAGCAATAAAAAGTTCTACATTGCAACAAACCTTTAAAAAACTATTGCTTAAGTTTTCATAAAGTAATAAAACTAAAAATTACCTGAGAAGGCTATTGAAATACTTGTCCCTTTTCTACAACATATCTGTATTAGGGTACTTTTTAAAATATACTTCAACCAAAGCAACGTACTGTCACAGATTGGAGGCAGACGCAGATATAAACATCTAGATGTCTTAGAGCTAAATTTTTTTTTTTTTTTTGTCTTTTTATTGGTACTGGGGATCGAACTCACGACCGCCTGCTTCCAAGGCAGGCGCTTATGCTGCTGAGCTAAATCCCCAGCCCCAGAGCTAGATATTTATAGGGATTTGCAAAAATGGTGCAGCTTTTCTCATTGAAAAATTTAAATGCAGTTTTCATAAAAAATTTTTAAAAAAGTATTAGTAAATTTCTCATTTTTAATTCTTTATAATCCAATAAATAAAAATTTCACTGCAGTCCTCGATAATTTTCTCATTCAGTGCTGGTGTGGAACCCAGA